ATAGATAAATTCATTTATTATAAAAGAGACTAAAGAAAATTTATTTGAAAAACACAAATATTTGTTTTATTTGGGTCTCTAATTAATAAAAAGCGACAAAACACCATTTTAAAGTGCATTTTCATTCAACTAATACAGTATATTTATAAATAAAATGTAACCCAAGAAGTAGCCAATGCACCAAATGATAATTTCTACGTCAAACAAAAAAAGTAGCCACATTTGGCACAATGTAGCCAAATCTTGCAACATTGGAAGAAATACTATTAATAAATAAAGCTGGAGTTGTGAATCAAAGGATTATATATTCAAATGCAGGGAAAGGAGAGAAAGGAAAAAAGATAAAGAAGTGAGAAAGGTTGGAAAATTAAAGGTCAATATTAGCTTAACAGAAGATCTATTTAACTTTTCTCACTACTTTTTATCTTTTGTCCTTTCTCACCTTTCCCTCCTTTTCCCAAATTTGGGTCTATAATTCTTTGAGTCACAACTCCAGCTTTATTTAGAAATCTTCCTCATTCACACATCTCCAAGTATTTGAAAATATTTCTTTTCCACTCAAAAATAAAATATGAATAAAGGTTTACAACTTTGTGAAACTTCTTTTTTGAGTTTATGCCATTGAAATAAATAAATAATAAAAAAATTAAAACATTTGTCGGTTTTGTTTACATGTTTATTGGGTTGCATGCGACCCATGGGCTGGACACCCCTGCTCTAAACCTTTTTCCCGACATCAGTCTGGTGAAGACTGCTAAAGTGTTACTGGATGGCTGTTTAAATATAGTTGTCTCAAGATCTGGAGGACTGTTTTTCCTGACACCAGCTAGGATAGTTGTAGTCACATACTAACTCTCAATTATGTGAAATTATCATTAAATAGGAGGGCTATATGTTGAGTGGGGAGAGCTGTGGGTAAGTTGCTAGTGTGACCAGGTTGAACAATTGATATCAATGCCAGTTTAATAAACAAAAAAAAAAGTGCATGGTACAATAACCTGCTATATACTGACTAAAGCTAATATCTCAATTGACTGAGAGAGAGAATGTACAATTCTAACTATCATTCTAAGTACAATACCCCAGGAAAAGAACTCAATAGTTCTGGATCCAGTTCATACAATGTTGGCATGATAATCATGGATCTGGTCGAGGTCAGTAGGGAGTCTTCTAGGAGAGTTCAATGGAAACGAGACTGGAGGTAAAGGCTGGTGGAGATAGTTTCATTTATTAGTTCTTCGAACTATACTCACTTCATTGTATTATGTCTGCCCTGTAGGTCAGGTGCATGGCCATTATATCCCCATCTGATGTGGAAATTCGATCAGGTAACCCAATGTTTTCTAATAGTGACACTTTGACTGTGTCATCACTGGGCCAGCTAGGGCAATGGGAATTTGACTTGTCAGATTGTTGTTATGAGACTCATTTACATATAGACATTCCCACATATCAACAATTAACAATTAGCTGTTATAATTTCTTTTGTGATTAATTCCTGGATCTCACACACACACACACACATATATATATATATGAAAACTAGCAATTTTGTCACATCAAAAATTTATCTATTTGATGTGACAAAATTTAATCTCAACAGGTCAGAAAATACTAAATTTTACAAACATTGGACTTACCTATATTTCAGCAATAATTCATTAGATTTATCTAAAAAGTCTTCAAATTCAGGACAATATCCAACAGTATAACAACAATGCATAAAATTACTAAAAGCTTTAAAGCTAAAACAATGATCACTTTTTAGTATTAACTTGGCCATAGCATTGATAACATCAGATAATAGATAACGACTATAAGCAAGATTTTGCGATACATATGAAACAAATTTTGGAGTAAATTTACTTTTAAAAAAATTATATTTATTCATACATCCTTCAATTGCAATAGTATATAAAAAGTTTGAGTCACTATATAAGAGTTTTTCAGCTGAAATTAACTTATTCAAGTTATTGAATGTTACATTGGACAAGTTTGATATAATCACACTATTCAGTTTTGCTTTAAGATCATCTATTATTATTGAATTTCTATTTCCATATGAATTTAGATGTAAGGCAATTGACAGCATTAATATATCATGTCCACTGAACTGTGAACTCATCTCAAACAACTTATTGAACACTGTTTGAGAAATTTTAAATTCGTTACAAGATATTAGAAATGCAGTACTAACACTAAATTTCCTTGTATTTAAACATTCTGGATTATCACAATAATGTTTACAAAATTTAGAATATATTTCTTCAAATTTATAATGTTGATAATTCATAACTTTATACCTAAATAATAAATAATACTGGCATATTTTAAATGGATCTTTAATTAATTTAATTTTATCTGCAAACTTCTCCCATAATTTGTTTAAATAATTTTTATTTGTTACAGAAAGATTAATAACACTGTCTGCAAGGATAGAACTATATGCCTCTAATGGTAATGAATCAAATATGTCAAATAGTCTTTTTTCAATGTTTTCCTTTTCTTCAACTTTACAAAATAATGATAAGCAATATAATATCAAAATTTGATTGTGTATAGAAAGATCATCTTGTAATAATTGAACTGCTCTATCTCGAATGACTTTTGACAAATTATCAAAATTACAGTGCCCATTTTTCACCAGTTTTGGCATAATGGACAATTGACTAATATCCATCATTGATATTTTGTCACACAATAAGTCTACTAACAGTTGCATTGTATTTATGTATTTATGTTGATTAGTTGATATTGAGAGGGCTAAAAGACACTTTATGATAACACCAGTTGATAATGTTTCAATTTTCATTATTTCTTCTACTTTTTTAGCAAATTCTTCAATAAATGAATCTGAGAGCAATTTCTTTAAATGAATAATAGAAATTGCAATGCATTTTAATTCTTCTCCCGTTGTGATATTTTTAGAAATATCTGCAAGATGATTAACAAGAAGTGACATTAAAGTTACATTTTTGTGTCCTAAATTTTCTATAGCAACTGAACAACATGAAAGGGCTTGAAGACTGAATAAGTGATAATTTCTTTGTGCTTCATTCAAGAGATTTTGCATAACTGTTTCATTAATACCTATTCCAATTCTTCTTAATGCTAATAGAACAAAGGGTAAAATATTAATGGGTATATCATGATATTGTTGATTAATAGAAGACAATAATGTGGTAAATTTTGGATGATTTAAAACTTCTTTCTTGAATTTCACACTCATTTTGAAATTTATGAAACTTAAAATTTTTTTCATATCCCCTAAAGTAACTGCAGCTTGATTAATGTGATATATAGAAGGTATAGAATCGGGATGATGAAAAAGGTGATTGAATAATTCCTATAAAAAAAAGGACAGAAACTTAAATAAAATTTATAAATGAACAATTTTTCATCAAATACAGTGGACCCTTATGTAACATTATTAATTAGTGCAAAATGCTCAGCAACCCACAAATATAACTTTTCAAAATGTCATAATAATCTACATTTTACATAAGAAAAGCCCACACATCTATGCACATTTATGCTTTTCCAGTTACTACACAATTGCATAAGGTATTATGTTTAGGGATTGCAATTGCTGGATCCCTCATCCAGCAATCCAGCTGGATCCAGCGCATTTTTCGGCCTGCTGGATCCGCAAATACTCAATTAACTTTCTAAATAATGGTGCAAAAGTCTACGTTGTCAGCGTTGCCGCTTTGCTAAGTGCGCTATCGCTCGGCGGCGAGAGCGACATTGCCATTCAGTGCAGCACGTGCTACACTCCCTCTCTACACCGCACCACCTGTCCTTTTACCTCTGCTGATCTAATTGACAGTTGACTTTTCGCTCTCGCTAAATAAAGTGTCTTCGCGCTAAATAAAATAAGTAACATCCTCTCCTAGTCCTGGTGCATAATTCTAATTTACGGTCGGTTGTGACGTCAATGAATCACGTGACGGATCGCTGCTTCAGCTGCGAGACACCGGCACTTTTTCGACTTTTTTTCCTGAATAAACTCGGTGCGCAATAAAAACATTATTTATTTCATTTTTCGCAGCTCGAAGAAATTAGAGAATTTGAATTTTTAAAAATTTTTTGAAAAATTTCGGAGATATTGCGACTAAAAAAATGCCAGGGGGCGTCTATGACACGCTACATGATCTTAAATGAAAATTGAATTATTTACCACAAAAATGGCTCTAACGATTTGGATCAAACTTGGTTAGTTTAGTGAATTGCGTAAATACATATATAGTGGAACCAGCAGCAATGGCAGAGGAGATTATGGAAATGGAAAGCGATGATCCAGATAACCCGTATTCCCTAAATTTCACCTTGGAACAAGAATTGGAGATCCAACTAAAGCGTAAGAAAGAAAACTTCATGAAACAGAAAGAAACTAGTACTGAGAAGGATTATGATAAGTTATTAAAAAAGGAAATGGCTGTTTATGAAAATGAGGGAGTCAGAGGTGAAAACTTATCTTTGATTTATAATTATTTGATGACCCTGAAACCAACTAGCGTAGAGGCTGAAAGGGCCTTCTCTGCAGCGGGATATATATGCAGTGCATTAAGAAGTAGGTTGGGAGACAACACCATTAATACTATTTGTTTTTTGAGATCCTACTTCCAGAAAAGTCAAAAAAATAACATGATAACATGTTAAATGACAAAGAAATATTTGATAACAAAAACATATTTGATGATAAAAAATAATATGAAATAAAAAAATAACACAAAAAAATAAGTGATTGATTTAATTTTATTTAATCCTTTAAAATACTTTATTCAAGACAAGACTGATATTTTATAACTTCTTCTCTAATTCTATTAAGTAAGAGTATTTAACTTTTATTCTATAAGTGGTTAAATTACTTATAAATAACTACAGACTGATATGTAGAGCCTATATAAGAAAACTAGTAAGACTGATAGCCA